TATTTCTAAAAGACAAGTACTTTTTAAAAAATTCCTAAAATAAATAACAGTAATTCCTTAATATTATCAAACGTGTAGTCATGTTCACATTTTCCCAAATGCCTCATAACTTTTTTTTTACAGTTGGCTTGTTCAAATTAGTATCCAAATAAGATCCATACCTTGCAACTGGGTGTGTATTTTGTACCATTTTTACAACAAAATCCCTGTGTCCCCTTCACCCAGCTTCCTCCAGTGATAACATCTTACACAATCATAGTAGACTTGTCAAAACCAGGAAACTGGCATTAGTACGAGTGTATTAAAACCACAGACTATTTCAATTTCACCAGTTTTTATATGTACTCATTTTTCATTTTTTTCCTTTTGTATATAAATCTATGAAATTTTTCACATGTATAGATAGGTGTGTGGAACCCCAATCAGGATACAGAACTGTCACCCAGAGAAAGTCCTTCATGCTAGCTTGTTATGGTCACCCCGACTCTAACTCCTGGAAACTGCTGATCTGTTCTCCATCAATATGTCATTTTGAGAACTTGTATAAATTAAATCATGTAGCATGTTACCTTCTAAGATTGAATGTTTCACTCAGTATAATGCCCTTGAAATCCTTCCAAGTTGTTACAAGTATCACTAGTTGGTTTGTTTTTATTGCTGAGCAGTATGCCATATTAAGTCACTTTTAATTAATAGGTTTCCCCTCATCTCCTGTTTCCTTGCTATTTATTTGAGAATCTGTCCCATAGAATTTTCCTTATTCTAGACTTTGATGATTTCATCCCCATAGTGTCATTTCACCTGTTGCTCTATTCCCAGTCCTTCCTGTAACTGACAGTTAGAATTCTAGGCCTAGTCAGAATCAGATGGTTCACTGTAAGGAACCCTCATCCCCACTGGCACCTCTGAGGTAGGTGTAACTGAACACACTTGGAGAAAGGATGCTGTGGAGGAAGGAGGAGAGCACCATGGGGACTAGGGTAGTCTGAGGAAGCTCTCCTGTAGAAGAGGGGCTTTGAGCAGGGATGGTGCTCCAGGCAGGCAGCCAGAGGCTGAATGTGAGGCAGGCACCACAGTGGCAGAGGAAGGGATAGGGTTGGACAGAACTTCTTGTGCAGGCCTCATGGTGGGTTCCACACAAGGCTGAGCCTGGGACATTGGTGAGCTGGGAACTAACCCAAGCGGTTGGAGGATGCGCTTGTGGGGGAGAGGACCATATCGAGGTCAGGCCAGTGGAGCTGTGGAATTGTCCCAGGGCCCTTATGCATCCCAGACCTCCACCACAGCCTCTAGGGGTCTCCTTCCCAAGATGGAGGACCTGAAACCCGGAGAGGTGAGGCCAATGCCTCCAACTCAAGGGGTGGATAGGGAGCGGGAGGGAGGAGGACTTCGGAGTTGAGGTTCTTGGGGTCAAGAGGGCCCTCCTGCTCTTCAAAGGGACTAAAACTCCCCTGAAGCCCGCAGCACAGGGGGCTGTGCCACTTTGCTTGCACACTTCCCTCCAGAGAAGTGAGTGTAACACCCAGGCTACAGGGCCAGATAGTTCTGATGTGCCAAGTGTCTCCCCATGTTGTCCTGGGTCTCTGTCCCTCGCCCTCCAGGGCCACAGAAACAAATATAATCCCTCGTCTACACAAAAGCCTGCAGGGTACTTGAAAGCAGCACCCTAGAAGCCTGCTGTTTGCAGGGACTGTCTCCTCTGATCCCCACAACTCTTTCAGCAGGTGGATATTATTATTGTTGTTGTTGTTGTTTCTATATTCCAGAAGGGGAAATAGATTCAGATAGGTCACCCAGAATTTTAATGTACATGCTTCTCAACCTTGTCTTCCCGATCACATTCCCTTCAACCCTGTCTTCTTCAAGCTAAATGAAGTCCAACCTCAATTCGTCTTACTGCCGTGAGGGTGCTCATTGCTTCTTCCTCAACGTGCCAGGATGGAATACCCAAGATGGGCCCTGCCTCTGGGTAGGGAGGGAAGAAGCTGAAATAGAAACCATTTCTTAGCAGAATGAGAAGGTGGGCCACACAGGGCTTCAGGAGCAAGCAGATGCCTGAGGGGGGTGAGCTGGGGGTACTGTAGCTCATTCTGGGAGGAGTGTGGGAATGGGAGGCCTTTCCTGGCATGGGAGGGGCTGGGGAGTCCCCAGGGAGAGGTCACTCTGTATCAGTGGAGTCACTGGGTACAGACAGACCCACAGAGGCAGGAGCAGGAAGCTGGTCCTGATAAGGCACTTGGAATAACATGGCTGGAAGATGCTTTTGTGGTCCAGATGGAGAAAGTTGAGGCAGAGAGGGGCAGAGGCTTTCCCAGAGACACACAGCAGGGCGGGAGCCCAGGTCTAGACAGCACTCTATTGCCATTTGGCTCTTCCATCAAGGAGCCTGGCCTGTGCAATGAAGCAGGGTACACATCTCCAACTACGTCCTCAATAACTCCTGCCAAGCTTCAGAGACAGGGCCTTATGTGAGCACTGATCATATTCAGGAAGTAGTTTCAGGGAACAGTGCCTGACCCGTGTAGATATACAGGGCTGTGGTGTCACAGCGTGCCATCAGAGAGGGCAGGACTAACCCAAGGTCACATAGCAAATACATGGTAAAGCCAGGACCTTGTTCTCCAAGGTCTGGGTCTTCTCAGCCTCAGCAGAGCCTCCTGGAAGAACACCATCTCTCTAGCCCAGACTGAAAGCCACAGGAAGGGGGTACAGGTGTCTGAGGGATCCGGGCTATCTCTGGCTTCTCCCACCCCTTCCACCTGCCTCCCATCCCACATGCCAGCCTGTCGGTTTGTATTGAGGCAGACACCTGGGGGCCCTGTGGATGAGCTAGGAATTTCTGAAGTTCCTTCAAAATGGACCATCTATAGTTCCCACAGTGTAAGATTCTGTGCTTTTCACTCTTCACTCTTCACCAAGCAAACTCCTGCCTGTCTTATAAAACCCGGTTCAGAGGGACAGCAAATGACCATGTACAAAGCCACAGAGGGAGACACATCACATTCCAAAGAATCTTACAGACCGTGATCTGTGACCACAATGAAATATAATTAGAAGTCAACAAGAAAAATATAAACCTCCCATACATTGAGAAACTAAGAGCACACTTCTAAATCATCCACGAGTTAAAGAGGAAATGACAGTGAACTTACGAAATATTTAGAACTGAATGATAAGGAAAGCATGAGCAGTTTCTATTTCCTTTGTGAAGTCAAAGTCCCTGGGCCCTCGTGCCGAGTATCTTCCATTGCCCTTCAGATACACCCTCTTGCCTCCTCCTCCAGCTCTAGGCCCCAGAGCTGCACCAAGCTCCCTTGTCCTTAGCTTCCATCCAGTAGGATTTGGCCAATGGGAAAACCTGGCCAGAAATCAGAGGGAGGGAATGAGGCCCCTTTTTACCCCTGCCCCGTCGCGGTATGATTGCTGTGGGCTGGGTATGCCCCTCCAGGAGCTTAGGCTACAGCTCTGGTCAGGAGTGCCATTTTCAAAGCTCCCACTTTGACCCCTGCCTCCTAGTACCCCTCCAGCCTAGGCCAGACGGCAAAGGGCTGCTATTCCTTTGGTGATGCACTATCCCTGTGGTTTCCCTACACAACTGCTTCTCTAAATACTGCCTTCTTTAAACTCTTCTCAAAGTGCCCACTTTGGGTATTCCATGTGTCTCCTGATAACCCGACTCTTACAAAGTGCTCACTGTCAGCCCATAACCGTGTTCTTATATCCGGATGACTGAGCTCTGACCTTGTGTCATCTCTGTGTGTTGTCCCTCCCCCACTAACCTGTCAGCACCTGAGGTCAGCGACTGGGTCAGCTCCATCACCTGACCCCCTGCTCTCAGTGCACAGTCATGCTCAATAAACGATATTGATCAGGATATCAAACAAATATCTAGAAGGACAAGATTTGAATTCCTTCTGCATACACTAGAGCATGCAAATATTTGCTTATAGAGGATTTAGGGCAGAGTTAAGACTCAGACATCAAAAAAGAGAGAGCTTTAGACTAGGGCAAAAACAGGTGTTCAACAAAAAAATGAATCCTCAGTTTTGTGAACTGGGATTTTTAAGGACCCAGTGTAGTCTCACATCATCCAGTAAGAGAAGATCCAGACATGAGGGGAGCCCAGCAGGGCATCTGTGCCACATAAATTCCTGTCTACTGCCTCCAGCTCTCCCCTACCCTGCCTGCTCACCTCCCATACTCTCCCGGGTGACTTCTGCAGCCCATCTGTCTGCCTCAGTCCTCCTACCCGAGAAGGCCTCCCTCCAGTCTTTCCCCTCATCCCAGGACAGAGCAGCCAACTGGTCCCTGGGCTTGGGCCCACCGTGTGCATTGCTGCGAGAATCTGCCTGCCCTCAGAGAGGGACCCAAGTAGAAAAGCAGGGAAAGCAGATCAGGTCTTGAAGTGTTTGGATTTGGTTGGAAGAAAAGAAGTTTTTCCAAACTGGGAACAGCTGGGGAAAAGGTCTGGTGGGGGGAAATGGGGTGGCTTCGGCCAGAGTGAGGAGAATCTGCCTGGCCTGAGCCAAGCCCCTAGCCCTGGTTGGGGAGCTGAAAGTCTGTTATTTGAACAGACCAGTCCTTTGGGGCCAATCCTTTCAGTGCTGGGGTGAGGGGCTCAGCTCAAGATTCCTGATGCATACATGCATTCATTCACTCACTCAGCAATGGGTATTACCATGCCTGCTATATGCCAGGCATTATACCAGGAGCTGAGGGTATGGGAGTGGACAGGCCAGATCTGATTCTTACTGCGCTCAGGGACAAGTGAGACACAGATGATTCTAGGAGGGCAAGGAAACTACCATTATCTAGCACCTCCTTTGTTTCGTCTCCAGACAGAAGCAGGGCTTGTCCCCATTTTACAGTCGAGGACACTGAGGCTGCCTCCTGAGAGGGCCAGCTGCTCAGTTAAGTCTTTTGCCGGCGGAAGCTGGGAGCACTGTATGGACTTTCCGGAAAGGCGGGGGTATT